TATCTGTTTTTCAACAAAAATATATTTTGATTAGTGATGATATAAATGTAACAATTTCATATGTATATTCATATAAACATTTTTTTCAGCTGCAAACGTATTTAAGTATGATGATTGTTATTAGAGTTTCTTGAATGATTTTATTATACTTTGTGTTTGTATTTTGTTTGTGTACAGTACCTGTATAATTTTTTCATATGCTCTTCCCAAATCATTTTTAATGAAGTATTTTGGTAGATTCTGAAGGGATGAATGTTTTTCTTCAGTCATATGAATTCTACATTTCATTGAAAAACCAATATTATTTTATTAATTCAATCATTATTATGACAATCTTTAATGTATTTTCTATTCATCTATAACATAAGTTGGGAAAAGTTCATCAAGTTTAATTACCATGTTTACTGGTTGGAATTTAATATCTTATACATGATCACAAGTATTTTAGTCATTCTCTTAACAGAAAAATATTTTTTTCAAATTGTTTAATACAATTACTGTTCCTTCTTCTTCTTCAATATTCTGTGATTTTATTCTATAATCAAGATGGTTTTTGTAGGAGTACAATATACATTTAACATTGAATTGTTTGTTCTTTAAATCACCCATTCTATTACACAAATTAAGTAAATAAATTTATATGTGACTAATATATTAAGGATTATTTATATTTAGCTACTTAACATTAAATAAATAGTAAACAATTCGAACAGTTAAATTTATAATAGTGTTTCTGATATACTCTAATATGCTGTTGGGTTCTCATTTTAAGTTGTACAGTTACAGGGAAATAGGAGATTGTTAAATTATAATAATTAGTTGGAAGTTGATTAAGGTATAAAGAGGGAATGTAGATTTGTTGGAGGAAATGACTGCTGGGTTGATTGTTTGCAATGTTGGTATTTTGGAATAGTGGAGATGTATCAAATGTGGTGGTCGAACAACTTGGTGTTAGGATGATTTTAACAGTTTCATAATTCTTCATTCTGAGATTATTCTGCACCCCTAATTAGGGCCTTTCTAAATTTCTTCTTATGAATTTTAGGTTTTGTCCTAAGTGAGGGTGAAGATTGGGGCACATAGTTCATCATAAAATTTTCTTTAAACAAATTGAGGTCTTTTAGCAACTCTGGATTCTCCTTTGGGACAACAATCCACTCTTTCATCCCCTTCGATGTTTAGGCACTGAGAGCAAATTTTAGTGGTAAGTGAAATTGTCTTCAATGATATTTGTCCATTAAGGATTCCATTCAGCCAAATGGCTTGACTACTTTCCCTTTCGTTTTTCTCTTGATGATACAACATTAGCAAGAAATTTGGAAAATGCTCCCAGTTATTTTCATCATAAACATTTCTCATAATATATTGTGGAAGGGAAAGTGTTGAATTCAGGAAGAAGGTGGAAAATATTTAACAATCATATTCGAATTTATCTTAACTGTGAACATTGGTTGGAAATAAGATAATTTATTGAATAATTCTAAAGAAACAAGTTAAAATTGTTGCCTTTTAACTTTTGTTCTAATGGTGATAGGTTGTAGGAAACAGGATTTAGCATAAAGGGATATATTGTGTAAAAGTGCTTATTATTTGAAGTACCTATCTCTTCTGGTACATATTCCATAAAGATTTTATTAACATCTCAGAGAATTCTCCAACAAAAAGCTTATAAGAAAAGCTTAATGTAAAGTAAAGGGCAATAAAAAGAGCTTAGTGTAAAGTAAAGGACATATTCTATTTATTTGTGAAGGTAATTCACAACAAATGGATAAATTAAAAATACTAATACAACTTTACATAGAATAATTGTTTATATATTGGTTTTATTATTATTACTAATTTTGAATTTCTTCAAAATAAAAGTGTATGTGCAGGGCATTTTTAATAAAAAATTTTATTCATTTCTTTATATTTGTTATTCTGATTTTTTTGATTTTAGAAAATGTGATTTTGGTCAGCAAGTTTCCTTATGCTTTGAATACATATCATTTTTACTATTTCATTTTTTTTTTTCAATTTTTAAACTTGAAATGTTTATAAATTGTTTCTATCTAATGAATAAAGAAATGGGTTATTATTTCAGATGCTGGCACAAATCTCCCGAAGAAAGGCCATCAATGGACGAAGTTGTAGAAATAATGACGACCTTGTCGCAATTTTTTAGTGATTATTTGGAACCTGTGGAGTATTCTCCAAGTATGTTTGTTACATTTAAATATATGTATGTATATAAAAAAAGGAACATGTTTTAAGATTGCAAGTTTTTATAAGAAAATTTTTAATTAAGAATGCTTTTTTTTTTTTTATCTATTAATAAAATGTTTACATTAAATATTTACAATGAGATTTTATTGTATTATAGATGTTGAATCTGAGGAAGTAAATGAAAACCATATTTCTAAAGATGATACTTTGGACGTGACTGATAGTATAAATTCTGAAATAAACGGATATGCTGCCAACGGTACTATTAAAGCTAATGCACCCGTTTCCAAAGAAAAATCGGAAATTCTGAATGGAAAACACGGTTCATCGAATCCCTTCTGCAATTTCAGGGATCCAGCTTCTAAAACTAATATTTCAGCATCCAATACATCTAATCAAAAATTCCAGATATAAAATATTAATTAATATAAATATAAATTTTCATATTCTTAAACATATTTTTATCTATTTGAATACATAGGAAAGAAAGAATATATAGACCTTCTAATTAATATTAGAAATATTTTTAAGATGTTTATCATGCACTTTAATATTACATTTTTAATATCTCCATATTTTTTTATTTATAATTGTAGAATGCTTGGGAATTGCCTAGTTCTGATCCTCCATCTGAATCTCCTATATTAAAGATAAAGAATACTGCTCAAAGTAAGTTTGCTATTTTTATAAAATACTTGAGTTGTAAGCCGCATGATTCATTGTTTTAAATCGTTTTGTTTTTCGTAACGAAGTAATCGCTTCATGATACTACTATTCAAACGATAACAATTTCATTGTACATTATTGAAAAGTTTCAGCAAATACTTCATATTTTTCTTTTGTACTTTCATATTATTCATAGTTCTGCCTTATTTCGTGTAGTGGATTATTACTTCTTTTCTTACTTGCTGCACACACGCAACAAATGATTAAATTGCTATTTGTTGACGACCTCACCGTTGTTCTATAACTGCAGAGGAAGGGGAACTCACTTGGGACGAGAGCTTCGAATTTGTGGCTCACTACGATAGTACTCTAATCCCAAAATAATGTTCTCCGTATGTTCCACAAAACCTTCCTTTTAGCGCGGAATGTGATGTGCTCAGACCCATTGTCGCCATTTGATAGCCTTTTCGAATAATTAAAATTTATGTGTACGACTTCACTTATATCATTATGATTTTGTAAAGTATTCAATTTCCATCTAATTTTCTTTATTTAATATGTAATATTCGTTTAATGTGAAAAAATAATATTTCTGAGCTTATTCAGTATTAGTAACAGTTAATGAAATATTTTTAACATTTTCTTGTAGTTAATTATAAAAATTGAATATGTTTTTATTTAATTAAATTATTTGCACCCCTATTTATTATTATTTGGAGTTTCATGCATATGATTTTGTAGAGTTTGATTTGTGCATACGTTTTTTTCTTTTTTTTTTTTCTTTTTTTTTTTTTAATACCTATAAGAACGAAGTCGTAGAAAGAAATTAAAATGTTGGCACATTGGGATTTCTCCGTGACGAATTCCTTGGGAGTTCGTCGATCGGCGAAATCTACCCTGGCAAAGGGCCCGCGAAAACAGTCACATTGTGCGACTATACTAAATTTAACGGGCGACTAATCGAAGGAACCTGTTCTTGATTGACACCTATCGACGTTAATAAAAGCTGCATCCTAAAAGACTCAGAGTGAATAAAAACAGATCGCTCTCTTTCTATATCGCATCGTATGATCAGGCAGGATCAAGACAAAAGTTATAAAGTTATACAATAAGGGGAAATCTGTCAATGTTACAACTAATCATTCATACATCTGAAAAATCCGTATAATGTTCTAAATAACATTATGAAACATAAATTATGAAATATGTTACACATTTCATTTCAACATCATCGCCAAACAAAGTTACAAATTGTTCAATATATAAAAAAATTATTCTTCCATAAAATTCAGTCATATTCTTCTTGATGTAGCTTTCTAAATCCAAGCAATATACTTTCCAAACAGAAGTTGATCTAGGACAGCAGTTGCCTCTTCTGTGTGAACACTTCATAATTGTTCGCTGTGACATGAACATGGAAATCAGTGCTTCGACTTAATCCAGCCCTGAAGATGAATTAAGAGCCGAAGAACCGTATTTTCTTCTTGGCTCGTGCTTGCACGCCCTGTCTGGTGGGGGATACCTCGAAGCAGGTGTGGCTGACTCACCAGGCCCAATATAGATGCACGTTTGTTTAGTACTCTCCCGACACACCACTAAGAACGACGGTCTTTTCTCTTCTTTCTTCTTTTTCTTTCATTCTTGTTATCGAAAAAAAAATTCGTTTCTTCGAATTTCGTTTCTCGTTCTCCCTACTATTTTTCATTATTTTTCTCTCTCTCTTGTTTTACGACCGTGTTCGATCGATCGGCATCCGGATCAAAAGTGGCTTGTGGTAACTTTTATCGGAGAGTGACATCTTTCATGTGAGCGATACTTGATTCTATTATGAACGAAGCCTCGACAGGCTCCAGTATTTGGAAATGTGCGAGGAATACCCAAACATCGTTGCCACGGACACCCTAAAGCGGTGCTGGGTCTTGCTACGTTAGTACCTTCCTCTGTTTTTTTTCTTCTTCTTCTTTTGCTCTCTGTTTCGTTTGTCAGGAAATATGAGGTGACTAACAATAAGATTAGAAGAGCCTCGAGTGGATGGATAAAGCTCGAATCCTCGTCGTTTGATTTGACACGACACTCGAGACTGGAGAGTTAAGCCGAGGCTTTTGATATCTTTTAATCGTACAGAAGAAATTCGGTGTCGAAGTTGCTGGATGTGACAATAGTCGAATGCACCGATGGCATGTACAGACACGAATTTACGTACGCAAATTACAATTTTGTACGTTATTGCGATATTTTTCGAAATTCATTGAACTGAAGATTGAAGCGGCTGACATGTGATTAACATCTTTTGTTTTGGAAAAGATCAAGCTGTTAAGTATCGGACTGGGAATAGTTTGATTCGTGTTGACTTCGCGTCTGAATCGTGCATTTCAATTAAAACAAGACGTTTGTTTTGTGCAATATATATAGTATTTACTGTTGTCCTTAGAATAAATATAGAAGTTCCAAAATTAATTTAAATTCTTAATT